CTTTGAGGCGGGGGGCGGGGGGGGCTGGAAGGATTAGGGAGACATTTAAATGCCTCCCGCGGCCTGTCCAAAGGCTGGCTTGCCTGGGCAAGCTAAGGGAAGGCATGGGGGTGTGGCCTAATAGGTTGTCAGCTGCGCTGTCAGGGGGTGTGGCCTATTATGCTAATGAGTTTCTGCTGTTGGGTGTGGCCTATTATGCTAATGAGCTCCTGCTGGGCTTTTTCTACAAAAAAAGCCCTGGGAAGGCCTATTATTTCCATACTTGTAAAGGCACAGGACTGAGTAGCTGCATGTCTGTCTGGCCAGCTGCATCCTCCTGTGTCTCTCCAGCGGCCAGGAAAGGTATCTGCTGCTGCGGCCGCCGCTGCTTGAGTCTCCGCCAGGCTGACCTCTCTTCCACCCTGCGTCCGTTCTCCTCCAAACGGGAGGGCAAAGCCGCCCAGGTCCTTTCCTGGGAGGTGGCATGGGAGGACAGACCCAATTATTTCATTTTCATTTAGTTTAATTCATTCGTACCCTGCCTCTCACCCCAGAGCAGCATCACAACAACCCTGTGAAGTAGGTTAGGCTGAGAGAGCGTGACTGGCCCAAGGTCACCCAGCGAGCTTCCACGGCAGGAGTGGGGATTTGAACCCAGGTCTCCCAGATCGTCCGACGCTCTTCGCCACTCTACACCGCGCTGCCTCCTGACGAATGCAATGAAGCCTCGGCCGTTCTTCTTGATGGAGAAGGGCTCTGGGAGGCCGAGGGAGAAGAGCAGCAGAAGGAGGGAGGGAGGGAGGGAGGGAGGTGCTTGGTCTGTTACCTGCAGCTTCCCTTTTCCCCTTCCCAGAGGGCTTCCCTTCCCTGGAGCTGTGGCTTCCGTCCAGCAACGTGTTTCCAGGGGGGTTTGTGTACTTGGGACCCTGCAGGATAGACCCTGCAGCTTCAGGGAGGGCAAGTCCAGGAAGATGAATGGCCCATGGGGAGAAAGAGTCAAGCCCACCCCCTTGTTTTGTTCACAGACGTCAGAGGCGGCTTCTCCAAATGCTGCTGTGGCTTTATTGTGCGCGCTGGGATGTGCTGTGGCATTTGCCCTTTGTCAGCACAGAGCAGTCCTTGTTTCTGCCTTTGCCTGATCCTGTTGGAATGCTTCATACATAATCTTTTCCCACCCTTCTTCTTTCTCTCTCTCTCCCCCCCCAGAATTAAATGTAAAAGAATCGGATGCAAGAGTGTGCGATGAATCATCATGTAAATATGGGGGTGTTTGTAAGGAAGAAGGAGAGAGTTTGAAATGTGCATGCCAGTTTCAGGTAAGGATTTTTCACGTAATCAGAAATCTTGAGCTACTCGGGTAGATCTGTCAATCTGAGCATTTGATTCATGTAAATGTAATCCAGTGGAGGATGTTTTTCAGAGTAGAGTGAAAACAGATGCAAGATTCCACACACTGATATAGCATTTGTGGCGTCCGCAGGCTTTGCAAATGGCTTTCCATGTTCCGGATCAGCTCTCAGCATTGGACCTCCTCTTCCACCCCCACCCCCACTACCAATGCTCCCTCTAAGCTGTGGAGTCCTGTGAGCAAAATTTCTACTTTGTGAGCTCCTGGCATTAAAGCTGTGAGCGAGCGATTTGGCTGCTGCCTAAATTAGCTTGCTCTGGAGCCATCCTTCCTGAGTTAAGACAAAAATGTGTGAGCCAGGGGCTCAAAAACAGTGAGCTAGCTCACACTAACTCAGCTTAGAGGCAACACTGCATGTCATTTGTAAACCCATCCTTCATCTTACCAGTAAAGGAATACCCTCACCAGTACTCATGGACTGGCCAAGTGATATTTTGTGACACGGGCACTAGCCAGTAGGTGCTGACCACACCTGGCTTTTCCCACACTTGTTAAAACCGTTCTTTTCCACAGTATGCTCAAGAGCATGAGGATGTTACATGTGTTTTCAAGATAGTCAAGGGTCATTGGAACCATTTCACCTCACTTTCAGTGTTACCCGTTTCTGTTGATAACTGGGCCGTGCTGGGTATAAACTGAATAAGCCACGTTCTCATTGGCTAATGAACTCACCAGTCATCTGTACACGCTCTTCGCCACTCTACACCGCGCTGCCTCCTGACGAATGCAATGAAGCCTCGGCCGTTCTTCTTGATGGAGAAGGGCTCTGGGAGGCCGAGGGAGAAGAGCAGCAGAAGGAGGGAGGGAGGGAGGGAGGGAGGTGCTTGGTCTGTTACCTGCAGCTTCCCTTTTCCCCTTCCCAGAGGGCTTCCCTTCCCTGGAGCTGTGGCTTCCGTCCAGCAACGTGTTTCCAGGGGGGTTTGTGTACTTGGGACCCTGCAGGATAGACCCTGCAGCTTCAGGGAGGGCAAGTCCAGGAAGATGAATGGCCCATGGGGAGAAAGAGTCAAGCCCACCCCCTTGTTTTGTTCACAGACGTCAGAGGCGGCTTCTCCAAATGCTGCTGTGGCTTTATTGTGCGCGCTGGGATGTGCTGTGGCATTTGCCCTTTGTCAGCACAGAGCAGTCCTTGTTTCTGCCTTTGCCTGATCCTGTTGGAATGCTTCATACATAATCTTTTCCCACCCTTCTTCTTTCTCTCTCTCTCCCCCCCCAGAATTAAATGTAAAAGAATCGGATGCAAGAGTGTGCGATGAATCATCATGTAAATATGGGGGTGTTTGTAAGGAAGAAGGAGAGAGTTTGAAATGTGCATGCCAGTTTCAGGTAAGGATTTTTCACGTAATCAGAAATCTTGAGCTACTCGGGTAGATCTGTCAATCTGAGCATTTGACTCATGTAAATGTAATCCAGTGGAGGATGTTTTCCAGAGTAGAGTGAAAACAGATGCAAGATTCCACACACTGATATAGCATTTGTGGCATCCGCAGGCTTTGCAAATGGCTTTTCATGTTCCAGATCAGCTCTCAGCATTGGACCTCCTCTTCCACCCCCACCCCCACTACCAATGCTCCCTCTAAGCTGTGGAGTCCTGTGAGCAAAATTTCTACTTTGTGAGCTCCTGGCATTAAAGCTGTGAGCGAGCGATTTGGCTGCTGCCTAAATTAGCTTGCTCTGGAGCCATCCTTCCTGAGTTAAGGCAAAAAATGTGTGAGCCAGGGGCTCAAAAACAGTGAGCTAGCTCACGCTAACTCAGCTTAGAGGCAACACTGCATGTCATTTGTAAACCCATCCTTCATCTTACCAGTAAAGGAATACCCTCACCAGTACTCATGGACTGGCCAAGTGATATTTTGTGACACGGGCACTAGCCAGTAGGTGCTGACCACACCTGCTAACTCAGCTTAGAGGCAACACTGCATGTCATTTGTAAACCCATCCTTCATCTTACCAGTAAAGGAATACCCTCACCAGTACTCATGGACTGGCCAAGTGATATTTTGTGACACGGGCACTAGCCAGTAGGTGCTGACCACACCTGGCTTTTCCCACACTTGTTAAAACCGTTCTTTTCCACAGTATGCTCAAGAGCATGAGGATGTTACATGTGTTTTCAAGATAGTCAAGGGTCATTGGAACCATTTCACCTCACTTTCAGTGTTACCCGTTTCTGTTGATAACTGGGCCGTGCTGGGTATAAACTGAATAAGCCACGTTCTCATTGGCTAATGAACTCACCAGTCATCTGTACTCTCTGCAGTGGCACCAGTTAGGGGGGGGAAACGTGACCTCTTCTTCCCCAGGGTTTTGAGAATCTGTGTGATTTACTACTGTTTTCAGCCCTTCCCCCAAACAAACTGTGCGCGAGAATGAGGTCAACGAACAGCATGTTTAAATAGTAGATCAAATTGTTAATACCCCTTTACATCAGGGTAGGCAATCCCTGGCACTGAGGCTGAATGTTGCATGCCAGACCATGTCTCTCTGCTTGAGTGAGTGAGGCCAGTCCCCAAGACGCTCAACATACGTCTGGCTGAGTACTCCCTCATCCCCCCCCCCCACGTACCTTTTGCTTGCTGGTGCACCCATGTCTTCGCAGGGAAAGGTTGCAGGTTCCTTGACATTTGGGCTGAAAAGGTTACCTTTTCCTGCTTTGCTCTATACGTTACTCTGTTCTCAAGAGTGGTTCATTGGATAAAGAGATGGCGTGAGGGCCGATGGACCTTAGTCCAGGTCCTGCCTCTGCCTCAGTCGCTTCCACCATGTGGCTGTCCCTGGAGGTACAAATTCTCAGCACATAAACTCCTGTCAGGTATAGAACAGAACTGCCTCTTGGGGGCTGCTCAGGAACACTGTGCCACATCACGGAGACAGAAAAACAGGTGCTTCTGTGAGTGCAGCCTTTGTGACTCTGTCCTCTCAAGGGAGATGAAAGGGTGACGGTGACTGAAATGTGTTGGAGGAGATGTTTCGTCATGGTCTCCTCCTGGTCTGGCAGGCAAGCTGTGGCCTGCAGCAAGCATGCGGTTGTCCCAGACCAGTCTTTCCTGGCCTGTAGGATCTAAAGCCACCAAGAGCAGGGGCCTTTCTGGCTTGAGGATGTGGGTTGGTTTTGCAAGAGAACGGAGCGGGACTTGGGGAGGGAGCTGCCAGCCACAAAAGCCAACTCTCTTGTTCACCCTCCGTTGTGGCAGCTCAGTAGCTCTCCACAAGGATGGCGTAACTGATTTCCTTCTCCCCCTTCTCCTCTTTGCCCCTCCCCCTCCCCTCTAGTGTCACACGAATTACATCCCTGTTTGTGGCTCGAACGGAGACACTTACCAAAACGAATGCTTCCTCAGGAGAGCTGCTTGCAAGCATCAGAAAGAGATCGCAGTCGTCGCGAGGGGACCTTGTTACTCCGGTGAGTCAGCCATGGCCTGCTTTGCTAGTGGGACGGGGTGTGTGGGGAATGCCGCCTTTCCCTGCTCATGAATGCATAGCATCATTACATCAAGGGTGTTTCTGAGGGATGCAGTCCTTCTGCATAACTAGAGAGGACAGCGCCAGTAGACCCGTCTTTTAAGAAAAAGGTTGCCATTGATCAGCGGTGTAGCGAAAGAGGGACAACGCAGCTTCCCCCCCCCCCCCCCGGCTGATTTTTGCTCTCTTCCTGGCCAGGCTTTTTTTTGAGACCAGGAGCCTGGCTAGCAAAGCAAAATGAGCCGCCGTAGGGCCGCAGAAGGAAAGTCCAGCCTCCTGCCTGCCTGCCGCCTTCCCTCTTAGAAGCGGCCTTTCCTGCCCTGCATGCCTGCACGTTGCGGAGCGGGTTGCCAGCACCCCAGGTCTGAAAGCGAAGACCTGCTTCGGCACCCTCCCCAACTGCCTCTTCCTGGAGGTGAGAAGTTGCACAGCCATATTGGTCCATACAAAATCTAAAACCCACAAGGAAATCTGAGAAGTGTCTTTCTGTCAGGACCAATCAAACAGGCACAGATTCTTGTGCGAGTTTCTGAGCTTCCCAGAACTCTTCATCACGTCGGCTGTCCACAGAATCTTAAAAAGTCAGGTGGGTGGGGGACAGGGAGTGGGGAGGGGCCGTGGCTCACTGGCCGAGCACCTGCTAGGCACGCAGCCCGTCCCAGGATCCGTCTCCACCCTCTGCAGTGAGAAGGGACAGGTGGGAGGGGATGCGAAAAACCTCTCAGTCTGAGACCCTGGACAGCTGCTGCCTGTCTGAGTAGCCAAGACTGATCTTGATGGATCTGCAGTTTTGATCTGGCATAAGGCACCTTCATGTGTTCGTGGAAAGCAGGTTCTTGAGGCCGTGGTGTTCAGGTCTGATGGTCTTGCATGCGTCCTCTGAGGCATGCAAGCCAGCTGCAGCTTCAGTGCATTGCTGGCATGGCGTCTCCTTCCGGCACAGGCTCTGGGAAGCTGTAGGTAGTCCATGCCTTCCATTCTTTGTTCCTTCGCAGGAACCGCTCCGAGTCCACCCAAAATTGTCCCAGAATCGTCCATGAGGAGCCCACAAATGTTTCAACAAGTAGTGGATTTAATTTTCACTCTCCAGCCCAGGGCATTGTGATCCCCAGCGATGCATGAATCAGCAGCACTAAAACCAAAAGTCGTTCCCAGACAGCTTTTGTGGGGGAGACGTGTGTAAGGGAGTCCAGCACCCTATTGCGTGATGCGGATCCATAGTTATCATTCTGTTTCCAGCAGACTACGTAAGAGCAGTGCCTCAGTTGTCCAGCGCTTGGCAGACTTTGTGTATGTGGCAGGCAGGGCCCTGTTTAGCCTGATGCAGCAGAACTTTTATTCCGTTGCTTTTAGTTCTCAAACATGCAGGGCATGATCCATCTAATGGGTGAGCATTTGAAGTCCCATCCATTTTTTTGTTGATAGTCTTTTTACTCCAGGAATAGGACTCACCTAAGCAGGGACTGAATGAAGTTTCGTCATGTGCCCCGCTCCCCGTACCTCACCCGGGGGAACTGCGATCCCCTGTGATCCCCCCAGAAATGACCTCTGAGCAGCACTAAAACCAAAAGTCGTTCCCAGACCGTTTTGACTTCTATACCACCCAGGTGTGCATTGTGGGGAAGACTTGTGTAAGGGAGTCCAGCACCCTATTGCACGATGCAGATCCATAGTTCTCATTCTGTTTCTGGCAGACTACATAAGAGCAGTGCCTCTTCGAGCACTGACAAGGGAAGTGGACCTAGGCCCAATGTGTCTACTGTTGCTACCTTTTAGCCTGGCCCAGTTGTCCACAGGTAAGGCATTCACTGCATCACAGGAGCAAAATGCGCACAGCCTTGTTTCAAAGAGGCTCATCTTAGCAGGCCTCTCTGGCCACGCCGTTCGTGGTTTTAATGGTGAAGCAAGAAGCTGCAAAATGGGGGTTAGTAATGCCTCGTGCCCATTGCAGGTGGTGATGCCTGTCAGCAGCAACTTCCATGTTGAGGGGTTATAATAAAGTAACTCTCTGCATTATTTTTCAATTAAACTATGCAGTCTTATTCAATCTTTGTTTTTTTAAGTAGACACTATTTGTTGTTAGGGCTTGGTAATTTTTCTGTTCTTGCTATCTGCTATCTGCTGAGAGTTGTCGAGCGCTTGGCAGACTTTGTGTACGTGGCAGTCAGGGCCCTGTTTAGCCTGATGCAGCAGAACTTTTATTCCATTGCTTTTAGTTCTCAAACATGCAGGGCATGATCCATCTAATGGGTGAGCATTTGAAGTCCCATCCATTATTTTGTTGATAGTCTTTTTACTCCAGGAATAGGACTCACCTAAGCAGGGACTGAATGAAGTTTCTTATCGACACACCCATTTAGAATAATTTCATGGAATGTTGCAGGGTGGTTTCGTTGTTTAACTAACTCACCAGATAACCCTTTCCTTCATCAGAAATGTGATATTTTAGCAATTCAAGAGACATGGACAGACCAAGAAATTACCCTACAAGGTTTTAATAC